GCGGCGGCAGCGCCAGCGAGAGCCGGGACAGCTTGGCTGCGAGGGGAGAGACCCCGTGAGCCCCTGACCCAGGGGAAACTGAAGCGGGGCCTCCCCCTAGCTGTGAGTCCTCAGGTGAGCCCTTGGGGAAACTGAGGCAGAGCCCGCTTCCTGCTGAGTGTCCAGGGTTGGCCTCATTTCCCCCCTTGTGAACTGAAGGGCTACCACCGTGCAGGGTGGGGAGTTCTTCCTTCTCCTCTGCTTCACCTGCCATGGCTCCCTGGTGCCCACACCATAAAAGCCCCAACTTCACCCCTCAACCAAGCGCCCCGCCCAGCTGGCCTCTCCGGGCCATGCCCTCCTCTCATTCTGTGGTGATCTCCATCAGCCACCTGGACCCCTTCTTTCTTGCCCTCCTCTTGAGCTTCTGCTTGTATTGCGCTGTGAGTGTGGTCGGTCCAGCCTGGTCTAACCCCACTCCTACCGGCCCGCCCTCGGTCTTCTCCCAGGAAGTCAGGTGGGGCTGCCTGCTCGGCACCCTCGTGCACCCAGTGCCTCTTGTTCTGTGCGGCTTATTTCCATGTGTAACTCGAGTTCTCTGGAGATGTGAACAGACCGCCAGTCAGCCCACTCTGGGCTCCATTCCCAAGCTCCCAGAAACACCTGGTATTGGTAGGATTCATAGACGCATTTCCTGTTTTTTGACACTAAACAAGGTACTTGCCCTTTCTGGTCCTGGCCTGCCAAACTCCGGGGCGCCTAAACCATCTCCAGGCCCCAATTTCCTACCCTAAGACTCCTCGATCCCAGCCTATTGGATGGGGATGGGAGTGAGGGGGTGGGAATAAGGGGAGTAGGAAACCTGGCTTGGAATCCCAAGCTCGCTGTGTGTCCCTGAGCATGTGGCTCCACCTCTCTGAGCCTATTTCCACATTGGCAAATGGACAAGGGCCACTTACTCCTCCACTAGTCAACTGAGTGCTGGGCCCTGTTGGGGTAGGGGTAGGGCAACTGTGGAGAGGAAAGGAAGGTCAGGTGGGGGGGAGAGAGAGATGGATGTGGGTCGGGTCACATGCCCCATCCTCATTCCTCTGCTGTAGCTTCATTGCTTCCCTGAACATGACAAGCCGTGTCCCTCTCGGGGCCCTCAACCTGGCACAGCCTTTTTCTGAATGCCCCCCCACCTGGCTCCCCTCACACCCTTCAGGCTTACTCAAATGTCACTTCCTCAGGTAGGTCTCCCCTGTATAGTGTCCTGTATAGAGGGAACTCTTAGGATGACAGCCTTCCGAAAGCAAGGTTTCTGAGGGAAAGGGACATTTGGGTGGGGTTTTGCAGGGTGAGTAGGAGTTCACTGACGAGAGCTCGTTAAACCAGTCTCACCTGGCAACCCTGACCCCACCTAGATCCTCTAAGACAGTGGTTATCAACCTTCCTAATGCCATGACCCTTTAATACAGTTCCTCATGGGGTGGTGACCCCCCCAACCATAAAATTGTTTTTGTTGCCACTTCATAACTGATTTTGCTATAGTTCGACCCCCAAAGGGGTCGTGAAATGCCATGACCCTTTAATACAGTTCCTCATGGGTGGTGACCCCCCCAACCATAAAATTGTTTTTGTTGCCACTTCATAACTGATTTTGCTATAGTTCGACCCCCCCAAAGGGGTCGTGACCCACAGGTTGAGAACCACTGCTCTAAGCCATCTTAGGTGCTCTTCCCATGGCATTTTAATGTTACCTAGGTCAGCAGTTCAAAACCACCAGCTGCTATGTAGGAGGAAGATGAGGCTTTCTACTCCTATAAAGAGTTACAGTCTTAGAAACCCACAGGGGCCGTTCTACACTGTCCTGTAGGGTCGCTGTGAGTCAGAATTGACTCGATGGCAGTGAAGTTTGGGGTTTTCTTAGGGGTCTTTTTTGCACGGCTGGTCACAGCACCTGTGACAGGAGGTAATAGTGTGCTACCCCCACAGGCTATGAAGGAAGAAAGTTCTGGGCCCAGCCTGTTCCCTGACCCTTGCCTGCTGAGGGTCTGGACACACAGTAGGGGTCCCACAGACAGAAGCTATCATTACTCCCAGCCCCCTCATCCCCCACTGCTTCCTGCTCATAAGAACCACTGTAGCTGTCTTGTTAGCATTCTCATAGAACCACAGCTATGTCCACAGCTAAACGGGGGCTTTTGAAATCTTCACTCTCCACTTCTCTTAATGTCACTTTGGACCGTGCCAGGCAAGATCTGAGCACCCCTTGGTTCCTAGCCTTTGCCATCTGAGAGCCTGGCCCCCCAGGGAGTCTGTGGGATGGAGGGATGGAGGCCTTAGCCTGTTGCAAAGTTCCACCAGGGCCACCTGGTGGCCCTGCTGCTCTTTGAACTTGGCTCACTACGGTGGCAGTGGGGGGGGGTGGGGGGGGGGGGAACACGCCAAAGAGGCAAATATGCCAATCGGTTGGAAATGAATGCTGCAGCCCCTGAGTCGATTCTGGCGCAGAGCGCCCCCTAAAGCAGAACTGCCCCATGAAGTTTACAAAGCTGGCGGCTATCTTTGTGGAAGCAGATTGCCTGGCCTATAGCCTGAAGCACCGCCGCGTGGCTTTGGACCAGCAGCCTTGGGGTTAATCAGGCCATCTGGCTGCATAGGGCCATCATCCCCCTAGATGAGGCATGTGCCCCACTATGTCTCCCCAGCCCACTCCATTCACAGCTCGTTTCCACCTGAGTCTCTGCGACCCGTCTGAGAAAACTGGCCTGAGTAAATGGTGGTGAAAAGCTAGGGTTTGCTGGACCCAGCGCCCAGTTTTGCCAAGGGCCTTACCCATGTGACCTGGCACAACCTTCGGAGGGCCAAGAGCTGACCGTTCTGGGCATGTGGGGAAACTGAGGCAGCGAGACTTAACACGGATGTGCCCAGGATCACAGGGGGAGGAAGGGGCAGAGACAGGATGGGAACCGAGGTGGGGCCACGGGGGTGGGGGGTGGGGGAACCTCGAACTGCAGTGGGCCCAGCCTTTCTTCCGCTCCCCTCGCCCCTCCCACAGCTGCGTCTCCGTACCTTTGATCTGCTCGCTGTTCCCCTGGGGAGGTCCCAAGTCCAAGAAGAGCCGTGGCATCTCGGGACCCTTCCTCTCCGGCTTGGGGGGGTCCCCGTCTCCGCTGGGTGCCGTGTCTCCGCCGCCCCTGCAGTCTGGGGCCCCGGGGCCTCCCTCGGGGGCCGCCTCCGGCCACGCTCTCAAGACCACTGGCTCCGGCCTCTTCGGCTGGCCCTCC